ACTAGAATAAGATTACCTCAAGAATTCATAAATTCAACGAATAAGAAATTCATTCATGTTATAATTTTAGTGTTTTCAGAAAATATGAGTCAGTGTCATATTCATCAACAGGTTATATTTCACTTCATTCAAATTTAGTTCAATCAAACCCATATAATGACCATTTCATAAGATTTTCAGATGGTATTAAAAATGTAATTGATAGATTAAAATATGAACAGATTGACAATATCGAATTTTTGGAATTTTGGTTTAAATATCCCGATGGAAAAAAGATTGAAGTTAAAGATAAAGCTGATACTATAACAAAAACAATTACAATGACCGATCCGGATAGTGGGGAACAAAAAGAAATAAACAAACGATAGAAACTGGTGAAAGGTCAATTATTATTGATTATGATTCAAAGGATTATTATTCGATAATGTTAATGCTTGAATATTAAATAGCCTTAACAAAGAATTTTTCGTGATATTTTATATCATCAACTATTTTTATCATTATATGTTAAATGAAGTTCAGTTGTTGTTCCGTTCTTTGATATCTTAATTGTGCTAATATCCTTTATAGGATTTATTTTTGCAACTGTTCCGCAGCATGAACCTCATCATCTATGAAAAATTGAATCTTAACGTCTGAATCTTGAACATCACAAAGAATGGCGATAATGTGAATTAATGATTCATAAGTAAATAATTAAACCGGGGTGTCAATTAAATTTATTATTGAATCATAATTATTAATTATTATATCACGGTAAATTTTCATTAATTCAGAATTAATATCTATTTTATATGGGTTCTCGATGTTTGATGAAAGAGGTGGGGGGTATGTTGGATAAGTGGGAATTTCAACAGGTTCTTTACCGGGTTCAGATAAAATGATTGGGTCTCCATTCTCATGGTTTTTTTATTCTCCTCATTCTTCGGTAAGTCACGAGTTAATAAATTTGGTTGAGTTGCTGACCTTGTTAATTCAGGGCTAACATTAACTTTAACATTTTGAATAATTCGTGATTTATCATCATTTACGTTATAACCAACCGTAATCTCTGCTTTTGCGTTAGTGTTCTTTTGACTAGTGAAACGTCTTCTCATTTATATTCGAATAAAAAAAATATATTTAAACTTTTATTTTGCTGGAACTTTTGAATCTATTATTCCCTGTATTTGTTCATGAAGTTGATTTTTAGCTGTTTCATCGAAATTAATAGACCGAATATATTCATTAATTGCATTCTTATAATCATCTGATTTCTCAAATTTTCTTTTATCTGATTCCTTAACTAAATCATAAGTTAAACCTCGTTGCTGATATAATGGTTTCTTAATTAAATCTTTGAATGCTTGAGATAAAGCACCTGATGCAATTCTTGCTACTATAATTGGTTGGAATTGCTGTTTAAGTTCATCTTTAACATTTGCGAAAACTGGATCGAATAAAGCAACTTTAAAGAATTTCTTAGCTGAAATTTCAGGTCTAATATAGGGTGTCCAAAGGTGCGTTTAGCACAGCGCTCTATATGAGACTATTAAAGGAGATATATGCTGATTATAAATATATAATAAAAAATATGAATATATGTATATGATGAGTATGTTGTATTTTGGCGCCATGCCGGGATATAAAATGAATTTTGAGACAAGAGGCGGTTTCGCGGGAAATTTTGGCGGGATTTTTTTCATTTTTTTAATGAATCATAAAGAAAACATCCTCGCTCTTGCAAAAACATACAAAGACTGTAAAAAAATCTACGAGACATTGGTAAAATGCTTCGGTATGGATGCTCCTAGCTATTCCACTGTAACGTATCATGTTAGGATGTATCACTTCATGAACAAAAAGGCGCCCATCATAAAAATTGACAAAAAATCGCCGGATCAAAGAAAAATCAAAGCAATTCTTCAAGCGCTAGATGAAGACCCAAGAGCATCACTCAGAAGGATAGAGGAGATGACAAAGATACCACGTACAACAGTCAGTTATTATCTGCACAATTATTTGAACTACAAACTAGCGTATACACGTTGGGTTCCGCACAACCTTAATTCAGTTCAAAAAAAATCTAGAGTCCAATCTTCGAAAGAGCTCCTCTCTATATTGGGTGCGTATCAATCCAAGAAGTTTCGCTTTTTAGTAACAGGGACGAGTCTTGGTTTCAATATGCAACAGAAGCCAAAACCATGTGGATCCCGAAGGATGAAAATCCGCAAACATTCCCGAAGAAAAAAATTGACACACCAATGATGATGTTGTCGGTTTTTTGGGGCGTGAATGGCATCATCGCAATTGATATTCTTCAAAAACCTAATACGATGAATGCTCAGTATCTAATTGACAATGTTCTTACTCAAATTATCAATTCTGATGAGTTTGAGAAATCCAAACAACAAAAACAAAAGTTTGCAATTCATTTTGATAATTCAAGAGTTCACAAAAGTCATAAGGTAATGAATTACTTGGTGGAAAACAATGTCAAAGTTTTCCAAACCCAATTTATTCACCTGATATTGCACCCTCTGACTTTTATTTATTCGGCACGCTAAAAAAGAGAGCTGAAGGACGCGAATTCGCGAGTCCAGATGATCTTGAAAATTTTGTAAGAGAGCAATTTGAGCAATTTTCTCATGATGATTTAAAGCGTGTCTTTCAAGCCTGGATCGATCGCTGCGAACACGTGATTGAATCCAATGGTGATTATATTTAAATAAACTTTATATATATGTAACTTGTTTATTTCTATTCGCAGTATTCAGGTTTGTGCTAAACACACCTTTGGACACCCTATATTTGCATATTGACCATCAAACTGGTTAGAATATCGTGGTAATCCATCCGGTCCCTCTTCAATAGCATTTAATTCTTCATTGAAATAAGAATATGGATTATGACGGTATGAATTAATTGGACCATTTTCACCTTCTCCAATGTATTGTTTAACAGCTTTTCCATTTTCATCAAATTGCATAGGATAACGTTCATTATATGCTTTACGTTTAGGATAATCAGATATAGTTAATTTATAACCATTTATGACTTTAATATTACCTTGACCATCAGTAACGAAAACTTCATTTATACCATCGGGTTTTCCATTTGGACCCGTAATGTCTGCTTCGTGTGCTTCCCAATTTGGACCATGACGTTTGGCATATGCTTGAGCTTCTGGTAATGTTAAAACGTTTCTCATTTGTTTAACATCTTTTTGAAGACCAGCAACAATATGAACTAATTCTTTCATTCCATCAGGAACTTTCATAGTTCTATTATATGCACCCCTTTTGTTTGTCCCTTGTTTTAATGAACCTGTAGAAGATTTGCTATTTCTGTCATGTTTAATTATAAATAAAAAATAAAAATTAATTATAAAAAGTTAATCAAATTTAACACTTCCTTTATTTAAATCAACTATTATTTTTCCATGTTCACCTAATTGCTGATATTGTGTGTAAAGTTCATTAATGCTCATTGGTAAATTCACTTGATAAAGCATAACGTTCAACTGTTGACGACTAAACCCACTGAAAATGAAAAGTGTTGATAGATTTGATTTAATGTTTGTGCTTAATGCTTTGAAATATTGAACAGCCATAAAGAATGAACACTGAATGTGTCGACATTGAGTTAATAATTGATTAAAATATGATTTCTCGTTTGTTATTAGTTTTGATTTCACTGCATCATCTAGAAAAATGAGTGAATGCAAAAATTCTCTATCAAAATTTGAAATAGAAAGTGTTTCAAATAATTCATCCCGTTGTTTATCAATAATTTTATCCTCTAATCCTTGCTTCTTGATTGTATTATATAATTCTTTATACATTAAAAAGTTTTTTTAAATAATCTTCTGCTTCTTCTTGTGATAAATAAATAATTGGAATTTTGATTAAATGCTTTAAAGATTCAAATGTATCATCTGAAGGTGAACCTGAACGGTTGATATAAATTAACACATGTGAATGGGGGAAGTGTTAGCAATAATGATAATTTGTTTTAATATCGTTAATGTTTTACCTTTATTTTGTTTACCAATTGCTGCAGTGATTGAATTTAAGTAACATTCAGAATATGGAATTTTCATTAATTTTTCCTTAGATAGAGCATTTCTATTATCACTCAATGCTTCATTAATCATATCATCTACGTATGTATTATATACTCCTGCTAATTCTTCATAGGGAGTGTATGAATTTAAATCCATTTAATCAAAAATAAATTTATAATTTTAAACATTTCTATTCATCAATATTTCATCATATGAACTTCTATACTGCGGTGGTGTACCTGTTGGATGATATTTCAAACCTTCATCTGGTGTCCATGTCCAATATGTAGTCCTAGTAAACCAAACCTGAGGAGGATTGTCACCTTTGAACAGTAAGTGTCATTTTCACCCTGAATGATTGGATAAGCTTTCACTTGTACTGTAACTTGTGAGTTGAAAGTTTCTAATCCATCAAAGAATATACCCGCTCCATCACGTTGAACTGGAATAGTGCATAAGAATGAAGTTTGGTCTTTCCATGTTCTAGCTAATGGCGCGCCATCATCATCATTCAGTGGTTTAGTTAATGAGTCCTCGTATTCTTCCGTGCATTCATTCACTCCATCTAAATCAGAAGCTTGAAGCATACGTGTAAAGAATATGTCACCCACTGTGGTCATCGCTTGATCGGGGAAGTTTCTGGAATCTATAGTGACCTGAAGACCTCGAAGCATTGGATTTTCTAAAACCGTTCTTTGCATTGCATTCTTCGGAAATGTTAACACAACATCTGTAACATTATGAAGAGCGTATGAGAAATCTGAGCTAATACCTTCAGGAGTGATGCAACCTCCATTTAGTGAACGAACGTCAATATGTTGAGCTGGAATCATGAATGGATCTTCCTTACTAAATAAACGTGGTATTGCTTTAACTGATTCTTCAATTAAACCGTATCCTGGTGTAATGCATTTATCCTCTAAAACTTCCATCTTTGTGCATGAAATAATAACGTCATCAACTGTTGCGTCAGCAGATGTAGCGGCTAAGCTTGTAATTAATTTGGCAGGAAGTCCGATTTGTTGGAATTTGCGATCATATTTATAAACATGATTCATAATCTTTTCATAATTTTCATCAGTTATCTTTTCATAAACGTAATTTTGTAAATCAGCAACTCTTAACGGGTCAACCTGACAAAATACTAAAGTATCCCTGAAAACATAATATTTAAGAATGATATCACCAAATGATTTAGGATAATCATCGAACGCCTGAAATGCTAACAAATCATTTACCGGAATAATCATATCAAAAGTGACATCAACTTCTTCATTTGCTTTCTTGAAAACTTCTGAAGGGTCAATATATTTACCACATACTGAGTTATCATATTTTTGAACATTATTATATAACGAATGAACAAACTTTTTAACTTTCCTTTCTGATTTTGGTTTATATGTTGCAAATGCAAAAGATTCACGGGCGCAATCCATCTGAAGATAACCGGCATCACCTCTTTCGGTTTCTACTTCTAATTGTTTAAAGCTTTGATTTGATGATTTGTAACCAACGAATAAACGCATACATTTAAAAGCGGCATCACATGTGAAAACTTTATTTGAAACTAGAGTTGCTTTAACTTTGCGTTTAATATATGTGTCACCTAATTGGTTCACATCATGAGCCGGATTTGTAATTCTTAAATGAGTTTGTTTATCATCAAAATATGGAGCATCAGAGTCATAGCATGAACTTTCAAGTTCTCTATAATATCTTCTACCGTCATTCTTTGCGAATATTTCATTTATCTTTTCGAATGAATGAAACACATTTCCATTAATCGGTTTGGTGTTTGGCACTAAATAGTTAGTCGTCATTTATTAATAAATAAAAAATCAAAATTAAAAGATGAAAATGAATTTTTAATTTTAATGAAATAATCAACTATGGCTGCAGGTATATTTAAGAAACTGTGGAATAGAGTAAAAAGAGGAGCGAGTAAAGTTTGGGAAACATTGAAGAAGGGAGCAAATTGGATATTTAAGAATAAAGAAGCAATTAGTGACGTTGCTGAATCAATAACACCAAAAGCTGCCCCAATAAGAGAAATTTTAAATAAAGGAGAAAAAGTTTATCAAAGACTACAACCGATACTAAGATAAAAATAATTTTAAAATAATTTATTTTTCCACTATCTACCTCCTATTTTATTAAGTATTCCTTCAGCTATTCCACCAATTGCGTTACCTGCTTGTGCTCCCATCGCCGGATTACCTGCTTTAGTACCTAATACTCCACCTATGATAGTTCCTGCCGTTTTCGCTACTGGTGCCAAAAAGTTTGCAACGGGTTTAATAATCTTTTTATAAACCCAACCCGCAGCTTTCTTAATTCCATCCATAATTTTTAAAGAATCCTGCCGCCATTTCTGATTTAATATTAATTAAAAAATTCATTTTCATCACTTATATTCTAATTTTTATTTAATGATAAATGAAACCGATTTTAAAAATAAATGAAACAGAGGAGGAAGAAATAAGTGAAAGTGAAAATGTTCAACAAAAAATAAACGTTGTTAAACCAATTACTGAAATAAAAATTTTTTCATCTGTTGAAGAATTTAATGACTATTATGCTAATAATAAAAAATTATTTGAAGAATTGACAACGTGTAAATTGAATAAAATGTTTAAAGTTGATGGATTCAAAATTTCAAAAATAAAAGGAGTGGTTAGTTTGAAATCTATTCCTCAATCAAGAATCACCTCATTAATGAAAATTGATGATTTAACAAAAAGAATAGAAGAGATTGAAGAAAGAATGAATCAAATAATTGATTTCATAAATTCAAATAATCATTAGTTTCTTAAAGTTCAATGTTGAACTCATCAAATTCATCTTCATCATTACCATTACCTTTAGCGAGTTTATTTACTCTTTCAACTTTATCTTTTGATAGTCTTTCGTTTAATTTTTTCTGAAGTTTTTCGTTACCAAGTTCTAAAATTTTACATGGATGATATTTAAACCCGTTAAATTCTTTTTCCTCAGTTTTGATTTAGCATTTTCATATTCATTAGCGTTTAATAATTCACAGTCTTCCTTTTTAAATTGATGTTTAAGATATTCAGGATTTAATACTCTACGTTTATATGCTCCTAACTTAGTTCTAAAGGTTTTTCTACAAAATTTAGGAATTCCATCCTCTTTAATGTCATCAATGATTTCCATTTCATTATTTTCAATTTCTTCTTCTCGTTTATGAGGTCTTTGATTATGACTCCATTGATTCCATGAAATTAAATATTCTTTATCATTATATTTATACCTCATTAGCTTATTTTGGCTTTCATATTCATTTAATAATTCACAATCTTCATTTTTAAATTGAAGTTTAACCCATTCAGGGTTTAAACAATGTTTAATTAATCGCGGAATATCTGACATCATCTATATATAGCTTCTTTTATAAAAGATAAAAAATAAATTATTTTAAAATTAATGTTAATTTTTTAATGATTTATAAATATATTTTAATGCATCGTCTATATATAGATGTAACAAAAAAAGTCACACAACCCTTCATACCCTACTACTAATGAATTTAATTTTTTCTCAAATTTTTTAATACATTGAATACTATAGCAAATGTACTTATAATTAAGTGTATTGTAATTAAAATGTTGTAACTGACAAAAAGGTGACTTTTAATTTCTTTCAATCCTCTATTGTCATAAACAAATTAATCTTTATATTTAATATCAGTTATTTATTTTTAAAAGATTTTGAAATTCTAACCGAAATTTCAATACTACAGCCATCATTCAATTTGAGCAATCTCGCAATGGGGAAGTCAATTATTAAGATACAACGAACTGTCAGGGTTAAGCGTAATTTCTCTAAGCAAGACGATGAAAGACTCCTCAAGGCAGTTCAGCAAAATGAATTCATTGATTGGAAAGAGATCGCACATAAAGTTGGAGGATGGTCGGCTCGTCAATGCCGAGAGCGATGGAAAAACTATCTAGATCCAGCTCTTTCACACGAAAAATGGAATGCAACCGAAGATCAAATTTTATTAGAAAAATTCGAAGAGTATGGCACTAATTGGGTAGAAATTAAGAGGCACCTCCCTGGGAGAGCAGTTAATGGTATCAAAAACAGGCTTCAATACTTGAAGAAACATAGTCCTTTGCGCGTTGAAGAGTTCAAGCAAGAAGAAGCTTCATTTAATGATATTGACTACTATCTTGACTTCCTAAAGATATCGAACCTTTCCAACTCCCATGATAAAAGTGACATCTCAGCGTTTAATTAACCCAAAACATGATGAATCTCTTTTTGATCTTCGTATTGCAACACAAGAGTGAGAAGATGATAAGGATGATTTTATTATAACTATCTCCATTGCATTGATTTCGGAATGTTAATGAATTAGTTATTCGAGTCATAATATTGCAGATAGCTATTATATTTATTGTTACTTTAAAGGATTTTATTGCGATATACTTTATCTTATTTTTCGGATCTGAATTCAGGCTTGTAAACCGATAAATCATGTCAATTTTTTGACTCTTTTGATCAGACTTCTATTGACCCTGCGGAGTTGAGGAGTAAAACATTATCACCATATGCATAATTAATCCAGAGCGATCAATAAAAACAAGAATATCCTTTAAAAAATCAAGCTCGGTTTTAGGCTTTTCAAAAAATTCGATTTCTATTTTTTTTATAAAATTGGCATGTTATCACATGAGAAATTTGGAAGATTCAAACTTCAAAGAATTAAGACTTTCTTTTATCAAATGATGAAATTGCTCCAAATGCTTCGTATCAGCTTTACTGTGATGGTATTTTATGTTGCGTAGGAGGCATTTTTGGTGCGCAAAATTATCAAAAGCTTGAAAGAGAATTATTGAAAGGATGCAAATTGAAAGTGATGAGAATCACTTAAAACATTTAGAGCATCTCATTATAAAGCTATGTTTGGTATTACTGATGGACAACACTAAGACATCATACATTGTAATTACATGAAAGATATGATTTAACTAAATAAACATTAAAAAATAAAATTAACATTTATTTATAGCAAATCATTATTCTAATGTTGAAAATAATCTTGCATTAGATTTTTTATCTCATATGCAAGATGATTATGCTCATTCATTATTGCTGACTAAAATTTATAAAAATTATCAAAGATCTTATAAGTTGAAATATGTGATATATATAATTCATACTGAGTTAATAGGGAAAACCAAATCAAAAAATGAAAATATTCGTTATATTCCAATAAAATGCAAAAAAACGAAAATCCAAAAAAAGTGGAATAATCCGTTATAAAATGTCTGAGGATCGCGAAGCTAAGTTAGAATACCTCAACACCAAACCCGAGGGATCTCCAGTTTCTGTCATGGAGCATACGGGTGAAGTTATCATCAGACTTGCAGACAATTGCGCAGAGCGTCCACTCGATTATTTCGAAGTCGCTTCATATATCATCAAAGAAGAACGCCAGAGCAAAGAAAACCAAGAGTTACTCAAGTTTGGCAAGCCAAAAGGACCAAACTTCGTCGAAAATGCTAAAACAAACGTACGTCTTCAAGCACAATTATTCCCAAAGCAACAACTCGGTGAAGAAGAGGAAGAAGCCGGTGAAGCTGAAGGTGGTGAAGATGCTGAGCACCAAGAGGAAGAAACAGTTAACGAAGGTGAAATTCCAAACGTTATTGGAAATATGCAATTCATGAACGAGGTTGGTGTTGGTTTAAACGAAACAGAAACTATTCTCTTACAACAAGCAATTCAAAAACTCATTCGCTCAAAGCCATTAGCCACAGCTCGTTTCTGGGGCAAGGTCATGGGTATTCAAAACGATTACTACATTGCTGAAGCCGAATTCAACGACGGCGAGCGCCCACATGCTGCTCAAGAAGAAGAAGAGAAGAACGAGCCAGAGGAAGGAACAGAAAACAAGGAAGATAAGCCAAGAATCGTTCCAAAGGAAGAAGATTCTGGTCCAAACCAATACAGCTACTTCGTTTGCACACAGCTTGGTGGTCCATGGAAGTTACTTCCTGATATTACACCAGCACAGATCCAAGGCTCTCGCTGCATCCGCCAAATGTTCAGCGGAACAGAGAAAGGTCCTATTGCTGCTCCAGAAGGCCGCTTCCAGGGCGGAGAATACGAATTACTTCGTTGCTTCATTTCTCGTGTTACACATTCCTGCACACTTGCGCCAAAAGGCCTCTACAATCTTGAAGAAGAGCCAGAGGAAGGTGGCCGTGTCGAAAATGTTACTCCAATTGCAATGGCAGAGGAACCAGAATATAAGCCACTCGAAGGCCTCAAATCCTTTGTCCACTGCGTACCAACCATCTTAGATCAGGGCCGCTGCGAGTTCTACATCTTCGAGGAAGACCAGCAGGACGAAGAAGGCAACGAGAAAGAGCCAGTCGTTGAACATGGCCCACCAATTTTGACACCAATCACAGAGGATAAATCTAAGGACGAGTACAAGTGCTGGTCCCTTAGAGAGGTGAATGGCGTTAGCAAGAGATATTGGCTTAGATCTAACGTATGGCCAGGTTTGCACATCGTTTCTAATGAAAATGGTAGCCGCATGGTCATGATGTACTTCGGAACAGGCATGAAGGCCCAGAAGCCTCTTGAGTGGCCACCGCTCCCAGTAAAGAAGCCACCGCCACCACCACCAAAGGAGGAAGAAGAGAAGAACGAGAACGAGGAAGAAGAGAAAGGTGAGGAAGGCGCTGAGAAGACAAACACAGAGGAAACAACTGGCGAGGAATCTGCGACTGGAACTGCAACAAACGAAGAGTCTGGAACTTATGACTCAAACTATGATTCAAGCGCACAGTAAAATGAAAAGTAATTTTGTTGCCTTTTAAAATGAATAAAAAAATTGATCCTTTATTTTTAGAAATATATATTAAAAAATCATTTCAACGAAAAAAAAATCTTTTTAGAACTAAAATGATTTTCAGTTCTTTATAAGCACTTGGAGGTATAATACATTATCATTAAAACACCAATCTCGTTATATAATTGACTAATGATGGCAGAAAACCATTATCATTAGCACGCTAATTGAAATGGCAGTAGAAATCTCTTTATATAAAGTTTGGGATACCTGAGTTATAAGAAACCTTAAAGTCTTGACGTAATAAGGAGTTTATGTCAATTAAGAAAGATATCAACGATAAATTTTAAACAAAAATCAAACATTTTATGTAACAACACAAAAAAATAAAGATAAATAATTAAAAAAAAACTTAATTTTCATCATCTTCAGGAATTTCTTCAGGTTTGTATGGTGCGTCTAAGCTCATTGTTTTCACTGGTTCAGGAGCAGTGTTAGGATGTATTGGGATATTATCACTTGCCAAGGAAGGAGTTGTTGAAGCGACATCAAATTTGTTTTGTGACTGCGACTGTTGTCTCAAAGAAGAAGTTGGAGAAACCAGAAGAGAGAATGTTTTTTGTGCCAGCTGCGTAGTCCTGCTTAGTCTTCCTTTCTTCTTTGGCGGAGGAAGCATTTTTGCAGGAATTGGTGGAGGACCTCTTGGAAATGTTTGTCTTTTTCCAGGATCAACCCAAACTCTTTTGTTTGTGATTGCTGTCCTCGCTTTTACTGTTGTCAACTGTTCAGTTATCTGTTGTATCCTGTTGTTCTCTATGTTTGGAGTCGCGTACCTGAAATTCGGGTGATTTCTCTCATTTTTGGGTAAAATCTCCAAACCAGCTTCATGATCTTTGAAGATAGGAGCATGCATTGGAACTGGATCATAGTTTTTGCATGTTTCCTTGTCATTTCCATTCGACCAATCGTATTTGTAGTCATAAACAAAGTCATGTTTCAGAAAACATTCTCTAAATATTTGTCTAAGTTGTGAATAAGGGGGTTCTTGGGCGAAATCAAGAGCTCTGACTATTTCAAAGTATTTTATGAACTCTTCAGGTAAGTCTTGACATAGCATATCAAAGGAAGTAGTCATTTTCTTTTCTCCGATTTTCTCATATTTTTGTTTTAAGTTCTCTGACTGAATTCCTTGCCATGGAAGTTGTCCCTTGAGCAAATAAACAAGGACATAACCTAAACTTTCGAGGTCATCCCTTCTACTTTGCTCAATTCCGAGATGAGTGTTTATTGAAACGTATCTAGAAGTTCCGACAAGTTCTTTATCGCCTCTGTATGGGATATGTTCTTTAGTCTTCGGATCCCTATATTTCTTTGAAAGTCCGAAATCGATCAAATAAATTAAATTTGATTTTTTCCCGGTTCCAATTAAGAAGTTCTCTGGCTTGATATCTCTATGTATGAAATGGCGTTCATGCATGTATTGTATTAGGCAAATGGCCTGATCTGCAAATATCAAAACCGTTTTTAATGATAATTGTTGGTTGTGGCGCATCATTTCGAACTCAAGGGAACTTCCGAGGTACTCCATGACAAGAACATTGTATTGGCCTTCCGTTCCAAACCAGAAAAGTTCAGGAATTCCTGGGCAACCCGCTAAAACTTTATAAATTTTTGATTCATTTTTAAGTTGAAGGCTTTGTTTCTCAACAGGTTCTAGTTTAATGGCTACCATTTCATGAGAAACAATATGCTCACCAAGGAAAATGACTCCGAAGCTTCCTTTTCCGATTTCTTCTTTCAAAATGTATCTTGAAGCAACAGTTTTGTCTGAATTAGCTGTAGATTTTGGTGTCTGTTGTGTGGAATCCGCGTTGTTCTTTGGTTTCTTCTGTTTTTCAGAAGCATTTTGTTTTGAATTTAAGGCTTTGAACTGAGCATCAGGGGTATTAGCGATAATGAATATGGTTAATACCCATTTCATCATATCTGGCACTGTTTTGCAAAGGAATGTATGAGATGGTGAAGTTTTATTGATATCTCCAACAATAAAAAGTAATCCACAATGAGATTTGTTCAAAGGTTGTTTCGGTTCTGGGTAAACCATTGTAAGACTTGATATTTTCTGCGATACCGTCTGTTCTTTGACATTATCACCTTCTGTTGGTTGAAATTGGAAGTTTTTAGCTGTTGCATGTATCGAAGCTTTGACTGCTTTTGTTTCCTTTGGTCCTATTACTTCTTCAATTTCTTCTTGGAGTTGGTAAGAATTCGTTATTAATCTTTCGTAGTATTGGACTGTTTCACTGTATATTTTGTTAAAATACATCTGAAATTCTTTCATTTCTTTTGATGATTCGAAAACTAATGAAACAGGTGAGAAGATTTTTCCGATTGAATTAAGTATGACTTCATATCCTTTAGAATGCTTGCTAACATCATTTGTAGATGTTGGTATGAATATTATTTGGATTACATCTTTGATACTATTATTTTGAAATAAATATAGGAATGGACCAACAGCTTGAACTGTTATTTTCATGACTTTATCTTTGCTAAATGTTGCTTGCACATTTCCCCACTTCCGTAACTCATTCAGTCCTTTGAACGGTTCCGGAAGAGAGAGATTTTGCATAAAGTGAGAAAAAAACATGCAACTCTGTTTTCAACGCATGGAGCTAGCAATCAACTATACGACATAAAACACGATATATCACACAAAAAATTATTAGAATTATATGAAAATTTATTATAATGTGAATTTGTATTATTTCGAATCCGGAATCAGACAAAAATTCTAGAAGAAAATAGTAATATTTTAAAAATCTAAAGAGTCTATTGTTTTGAAATCTCTTGTTAAAGCTTAATTTATTCGTAAAATTGAAATTTTTAATTTTTCAACCTTACTTTTCCAAAAATATTTTTGAATTCTAAAAATTAAAATCAAAATATAAAAGTTAAATGAGTTATTTTACAAAATCTAAAAAATTTGGAAATGTTAACAAGAAGAATTTGCCTGCTTGAACCAAAGGCAACAGTTGTCTGTTGGAAAAAGCTCGGAAATAAGAAATATTATTTCTTTTTTCATCATTTACACAGCGACGATCACTTATACTTAACAACGCTGCATATCTAATAACTTTTAGATTTAATATTCGTTTATAGGAAGATTTAGTTAACTGTAAAAGAATTTTTAACTTTGAATCAACAATTGATACACATAACATTGAGCCATAATCTAATAATTAAAAGAATTACTTCACATTATTGAAGCTTTAACGATTTATCTACAGAATTGCAAAAATAATATTGACCAAAAATCCTTTCTGATAAACACTATAACAAGTAATGACCTAAAAAGTAGAATTTTACCCAAAAGTTTTTAGTAAAACTACTGAAATCCATGAATAAAAAACTGATACTTCCACGATTTGTAGAATTTGGCTATTTTAGGGCATTATTATTGTTCTAACAATAACACACTCAGTAAAACTACAATTTAGTGATCATTTTTTTCCCTGTGGCAATATATTTTGAGTTTCACCAATAAATTGAAAAATTTAAAAAAAAAGGTGGAAAATTTTTTTCATGGTGCAAATATCGAAATTGTGCAATGAATTAAAGCGTGCGCATGTTATTACGGAATGTGGTACATTGTGTATCAATATTAATGATCGAATCATCAACACAAAGAAGTCTTCAGCGATTTGTTTTTCAGAATTAATCAAAGAAAAATATTATATTGATAAATCAATCACATCATTGAACACACATCTAGATATTACATGCCAAGATTCGATTGATATACTTTCAAACTTTATTGAAACAGGAAAACTTGAATTTGAAGCAGATGAGGCACATTATCATGACATATTCGAAATCGGCAAATATTTTGGAAATCAATTTCTCATACAAGTATATGCTAAACATGTTAAATCAGACAAATCTCTCACAAATGAAAACATTTTTAAGAAGTACGAAATTTCTGCATACGAAAACGATTCTACGACAATGAATGAATGCATTGAGTACATATCATCACATTTCTACAGTTTGAAAGATGATGATATCATTACAAATTTTGTGAAAAATGGATTTGAATTTTGTGAAAAAATTTTGAAGTCAAAAGAACTGAAAATAGAAAATGAAGACAAACTATGTTTGTTACTTTTAGATACTTGCAGAAGAGACATACATTATTTGATTTATTTAGCTATGTTAATTTACAATTTTGTTCTTCAGAAGTTTATGACTATATTTATAATTTTTCAGTTGAAAACTCTTATGAATCAAGTCTTTTAACTATTTATAATGAAACATTGAAACATTATCATTCAAAATTAAGAAATAAATTTGAAATTCAAATCAATCTATTACATCTTTCGAAAAACATTTGATTCGAAATCAATTTCAAATATCAAATCATAGTTTTAGTTTTGTTGATAAAATTGTTGAAAAAGTTTCAAAAGAAATTCAAATGGAAATGACTGCTTCATCTCTTTATTGTGGAAATTTATCCGATATAAATTCATATTCAGATAATGCTAATTCTTTACAATAATAAACCTAATTCATGGGTAAAAGCTGATCTAAAGATATAAATTAAAACCAAAATCATATATTCTACGATCACATATGGTTTTCTTCTATTTATTGAGAAATGGAAGCTAGAAGGTACCAAAGAAGATGGAACATCTATTGTATTAGATAATAAATACTATGAATTTCAACCAAGAGAAATCAAAGAATTTCCACTTCAAACTAATGATTATTTTGTTGCTTTCAAAATAACACAAACAGGAAAGAATTCAAGTGATCAAGACTATTTCCGTATTACTGTTTTTGACTTCAAAGGAAAATTAATAAAATTTTAACCATTTTTTCATTCAATCATTAAAAAGCAAATCTTATACAACCTAAACACACTTATGGCATAGCTTTTTAAATATAATTCCGTAATCAAATTCAGTAATTGTTTATTGTGATTAATCAAAAAAAAAGTGAATAACAAAATCATTAAAGAAATCATTGTTCAAATCCGTGTATTAGATTGAGAGATTTAACACTTATGCGATATCATATTTCGTTTGATTTTCATGAATTAATATACAACAAGATTTTATTGATTCTCATGTAAAAAATTTTACTTATAAAGTATTTTTTTTAAAGTAAATCAGAGATGATAATAACAAATAAATTAAAATGTTTACTTACAACATTATTTCAAATAAAATAATACAATGAAAATATTTCTTCACGGATCAACTAAATATGTGAACATCTTTCCACCTTTGACTTCTATTTCACCTCTTTCCTTGATGGAGAACTGCCCACCATATATAAATTCGTAGACAGGTCTAGAAATATGTACTTTCATTGGAACACCGTGATGTTCCATTTCATGGGCGATATTGATTGCAGGTCCTAATATTTCGAATGTTGGTTTCTCTGTTCCGATGACACCTGCAACAATTGGACCGCCCGTGTTAATTCCAACTCGAATTTTGAGATTTTCATTTTCTTTATCATCGATTTCCAACAATTTCTTTATTGCTAAACAACCGAAATCAACAACTTCTCTCGCATGAATTTGTGGTTGATTTACTTCATCAAATATTCCACCAGCAGCCATATAACAATCACCAATGCATTTAATCTTTGTCATAGTTTTATGAGCATTTGTGATTGCATCCATTTCTTTGAAAACAATATTCAACATTCTCATGACATACTGAGCATCATGTGAACCACACCATGGCGTGAATTCAACAACATCAAAGAATAAAACTGTAACTGATTGAACAGAGAAAGAAATGTTCTTTTCTCCTGCTTGTACTCTTGGTACTAAAGAGGCTGGTAAAATAGATGCCAATATTGTATCAGACTTCTTTCTTTCTTCTTCAATTAATTGTTCATGTAAAATATTTTGTGTTTTATCTCTTCCTGAAATAATCTTTGTTGTATTGACAACAACAGGTGTGAATTCCATGAAAACTGTATTTCCATCTTTTTCAAATTGGAGATTTGTTATTGTCGTCGTTGCTGACTCAACTTTTCCTTGGAATCTCTCATTTGTAAAGAATTCTTTTGCACTTTTTCCAATCAAATCTTCTGATTTAACATTAAATGTTTCTTCGAAAGCAGTGTTAATGTTAATGATCTTATTTGATTCATCATCTTGTATGACAATAATTGAGTCATTCAGTTTATTAACGACTTCATTAGAATAAGCAAGATGCTTTGCAGATTGATCTGCATCTTTATTTTCATAATCGCCTGCAATAAATCCATAATTCTTGAATTACTCAAAACAACTCTTGGAGGACAGAACAATAACAATCTCATTGTGAATGTCAACAAAATATCTTCTTTGTGTATTAAAGCAACAGCCATAAACATTAATATCATTGCTACTAATATACATGTAATTCCAACACCTTTAATCGTTGTTCCGTATTTGTTGATTCCTGACATAATCTCTTCTGTTAATGTCTTTCCAATTCTATAGAAAAATGCTTCATATAATTCTATAGGACCAATCTGTCAGATCTGTTCGAAATCGGGATCATTAGGGATAGGATAAGTTCGTTCAGAAATATTTTCCATGGAAATGAATGCTAAATATCTCAAAAGATATCCGGATGTCAAATACAACTGAACTGCAGCAGTGAAACAATGTGCACTTTCAGGGATAGTTGTAGGTGGATCCAATTTATCTGGACATGTAATAATTGATGATGCTTTCTTGAGAGCATTAGTCATTCCTGTGAATGGTAACTGATTTTCTCCTGTTCCGCCTAATCGAAGTTTATGGAAGTAATCAATAAACTTGGGAATACTCATTTTCATCATGACAATTTCGTTAGCGAGATCAACTGTTGTATCATGAAATGCTGCATCGTATTCTTGAAGAGATACTTTAAACAAATGACTGAAAACTGAATACAAATATCCACTGCATCCAAACATATTATCAATGTTTTAGATGCTTGGAAATAACAATACAAAATTACACAGGAACCAACACAGCCTAAAATAACAATTCCAACAAAGAAAAGCATATTCCATGATTGACTTGTTGTAGAAGATGAGCCATCCGTAATTTGTGAAAAAACTTTAATAATGTTTTGTTCTTGTCTTGACATATCTTCTAAATTAGCATCATCATTTGTTTGGTTCGTTTCTGTTGTTGATGCTGAATTCTTCTTGAGATGATTGAATGATGCAGAAACAGTTGATATAACTGTTTTTGGAAGTGTTTTGTTTGATTTCAATTTCTTGTACTGCAAATTAAATGTGACAATCCATGTAATGATGATAGCGACAGGAATACAAACCATTAATGAGATAATCCATGCTTTCTGGCTTTAATCTTGTTTGAGAATGTATTCTAAACAGACTAATAATGCTGAGCTCATTTGTTCGGTTGCAAGATCATTGTTATTTGTTGCTGTCAAATAATCTGATCCGCGAGCATCATCATATGTGATTTCATCATCAGTAATCAATGATCCAATGTGTGTAGCAATCAATGCTGCGATCTGTGCAACGGATGACTTCATTGGATACTCCATCGACCGGTTTGTGTAGAAGTTAAAGACAATGGTGGATCCAAATACCATATCTCGAGCTTTTTCTAATAATTCGTTGCCAAATTTATATGATCGAAGAGATGACATCATTGAACTTGTGGATGAAACTTGTGCTGCAAGGTATTTCAAGATCTCCCTAGATCTCACGTCATCACCAAATCCGGTCAATGGAAATCCTTCTTGTAAATGAATGACATCTGTCACTTTTTCTTCAGGTGATTTCGGATCGGGAAGTTCCTCGAACAAGAATTTTGCTGTGAATGCGGCCAACATGTTAAGTAAGTTCCTCATATATGATATACCGTACATGAAGACTAAAGGTGCATTCAAATCTTCCCTGAATGTTGTGTAATAAATGATTAATGCTAAAATTGGAACAAAAACAGTAAAGAACCAACCTAAACATGTAGACATATACATGCATTTGATGGCAGGAATCCTTTGTTTCTCAATTTGCCTTGTTAATGTTGCTAAAACTTCGATGTTTGCATCTTCTTCGGCTTGTTGTTCGTCATTTAATTCTTCAACTGACTCCATTTCGGTGAGAGACATCATGTTTTTGCCATCAGAACCTTCAACACTCTCAGGAAGGCTCGGGAAGACGAAAACTCCTAATCCGTGGACAATATCTGCACAAACTTGCTTACCGGCTTGAAGTTGTATGACATTCTCCATCCATACCTTGTATTCTACAGCGTTTGCGTTGATGTCGCCTTGGAATTTGGCGTATTGACGAGCAACAAATCTGTTATTAAGATAAAGACTCTTTAACTGGCTAACTTCGACATCTGCAAGTTCTACAGCTTCATTTGCTGATTTAATAGCATGGTTAATTTCAGCAACTGAGCCTTGAAGAATTAAATCCCAGATATTACGAATACGATTCTTCGCTTTGTTGAAAATTTTGTTCAGCTTTGAGATCTTACTCGTGAGAGCAGGTGTAATCTTTGTTTCGCGCGTATTCATGATATAACCAATATTAGACATGATAATTGTTGAAATTGAGTCTTTCAGGTTCAAAGCATTGATACTCTGTCCAATGTATATCAATGTTGGTGTAAGTTCTGGGTAAATTGCAACGAATTTTGCGTATTCTGCCCAAAGATCGATTGATTCTGGCCATTCAACGATCGCTGCTTTGAAAACTGAGAAGTTTATACATGCAGGATGGCAAAATGTGTATCCTGTACCAACAACTCTTCTGAATTTTCCTTTTGATCCGAATAATGTGATATCTTGGCTTTCTTCGAACTTATCGAGAATGACAAGGTCACGTTTGTATCTTAGTCGTACGTATACTTGTGTTAAAAGGAAGCAAGCGACAGCTATTGCAATAAATATTTCAAAGAATATTTCATTCCATCTTTTTAATGATAGAAGTTGGTATAAGTTCATGCAGCATAAGATGAATCCGAGGAAAGAACCACCTAAAACCATGACTTGATGTAATTCCAAAACAAAATTTCCTCCATTGAAGCATGTTGTGCCACAATAGACATATCCGGCGGCTGATATACATATCATCGCTAACGATGGCCATTTCTGGAAGTATGTTGTTAAGGAAGAAACAAAAGTGACAATTAAAGTAGTGAAAAAGAATTTCCATTGCGGACTTGCTTCGATTGACATGAAGGAACATGGTCTGAATGTCAAAGTGATCAAATATGCTTTAACCATAATCCATAGATATGGAATTACAATTAAAATGCCTATAATCGATGATACAATTGATACCACATCTTTTGTTCTTCCTACAATAAGGGAACTGATGATTTGACCAAAGTATTGGACAGAAATTGGGATCAAAATGAAAGGTCCAACGGCAATGTAGATCGCAAGTACATTGGTTGAGATCTTTGGAACTTTGCTTGTGGTTTTGTACATCCAAGCTGTGATTAAAAGATACATACCAAAAAGAAACAAGATTAAACTGACAATATCAAGGATAATATACTCGTTTCCGAGTCTATATTGAACAGGAATTAAGTGAAATGTAAATGTGAGGATACTCATCGCTTTATATGTGATAGTATTAGGGTCGTAGATATCGTTATTTGCTGCCATGAACGCACCGCCAATCAATTGGAGCATTCTTACAACTGATACAAAATTGTACAAAAATGGCATTCTTGGAGCGTAGTTATCAAGGTAATTGAAAAATGAAACCATCGCATCAATTACTTGAGTGCCTATGGGTATGTCTATTAAACCCTGATACCTACTACTAACAGACATTGAAAAGTCCATGTTACGGCTTGCAGTAGTTGATGAGTCTTCCATAGGTTAAAAATTTAACTTATTTCGTAAAAATTGAGGGTGGTTTGAAAAACAAAAAAGAACAGTAATAAAAAAACGATTTTTTCTTAATATCTTTCAGGGGTGAATTACTTTGTTATCTAAGAGAGGGGAATAAATTGAAAATGGTTTCAAATGTGAAATTGAATATACCGTATGCTCAAAATGAATTTTTTTACATATCTTCGGATGATAACTTTCATCAGATATAAAATGTGAAATGATGATTTTTGATTTGTTGTGAATTTTTTGAATATAGTATTAATATTGAATATGCTTTTTTTCTTTACAATAATTTTTACTGAATAATTAATATATAGACATATCTATACAACATATTCTTTCGATTATGTAAAGCTATGAAAATGCAAATGCAAAAATAAAAGGTTAATCTATGATTTTTGCACTTATTTCTTGAGTTTCAAACTAATTCTTCAGATCATTCAAATTAATTATACCTTTTCAAATTTATGTGTGCATAAGAGGTAGGGCAACGATAGGTCAAAAAGGCTTCTCTGTATGGCATTCCAAACGGGAACCGCGGTTGGTTACCATGGATTTCCGTCACCGGTCACATTTTAAAGATTTTTAAAGCCTTATAAAAATATGCTTTGTAAATCATTTTTTGTAAATCGGCAAAAATTTGGTAATTTTCTTCAACTAATAAATCTGCGAATAGCATTTATAATACAAGAACAATCTTTTAAAATGCGTTTGATTCATTTTTGTATAATTTCATATAGGCACATATATTCTTCCGGGACTTTCCGTGATTTTACCGTAAAATCATTAGTTTACACCAATTTTTCCGTATTTTGAATAGTTTACTGCACTTTTTCCGTAAAATTGAGTTACGGGAATCCGCAAAATTTCCGGACCTCATTTTTCATAGAATATAATAATAATATTTGATAAAAAGATATATTATTTATATTTTTGATTTTTGAATTACGGAAAAAGTGAATTGTTAACTTGATTTTTTTATATGGTTAATTTTTCAAATGATATTATGAAGATCTAAAATATTAAAAGTAAAAAATTGAATTACGGAAAAAGTGAGGTCAAAAGTGAAATAAGTTTGCAGAACAATTTTCATTGAAATAAGACATTGAGTATCACACTTTAGTGAATCAACATCTATAAGAATGAAGTGTTTTGAAGCTGAAATAATATTGAATAGAAATTAATTTTTTCTGAAATTTTGAATGAAATTATGGGAAATAAAAAAATTACTAAATATTGTATTCATACAAATATATTATTTTAAAGGAAAAATAGATGCTGATAGAAACGATGAAAAATTTTGAAAACTTTACAATTAATTTATGTTCGTTAACCACAGAGCTTGCAATCCAAAGCTCACGTTAGACTACAAGAGTCATGAAGTCTCATACTAAGGGATATCCAACATATATTTTAATAATCTAATGTTTGTGACAAATATTCAACATAAAATTAAGTTTTCGTTTCGTTACAAGGCATTCATACTTTGGAGATATCATATTTAATGTACAGAAAGTTAATATTAAACAATACATGCTAAAGAATTAATAAATAAGATAATAAAATAAATTTATACGTAATTACTTTCATTTAATATGCTTTATGCTGTATAATATTGATTAAGAGGCATTAAAAGGTTCCATAGTCTGCTTTTATAGGCAAGATTTTTGATAAAAATTTAAAATTTTGAAAAATGATGAGAAAAGGAAAAAAAAGGTAAATGAGAGCAAGAGGAGGGGAAAAAAAGAAAAAGAAAAGAAAGGGAAGGGAAAAATAAAAGAAAGAAGGACATATAAAAATTTAGATGCGCATTCTTAATGCCGAGGCGGCTTGCCGCCGAGGCGCGATTTTTTTAGGCCTCTACGGTAACCCGGCAATGTTTTTTTAAATCTTGTACAGCCCTACTTCTCTGATAGATTTCCTTGCCTTTTGGATATGCTATAATATATAGCCTAGCATGATAGGATATGATGTCAAAAGTTAGAACATAACTTAGGATCTTGAGAAAAATGAAAAACAAAAATTACATAAAAAAAGAAAAATTTTATCTAATTTGTTTTTTTGGACGAATAAGTAATTTTATTGAATTTCAATACGACACATAGATTTTATTATTAGTAATAAATTATAATGGTTTACTATTAACAAGGAACCTAAACTAACTGAAAATTTGATTTCAAATATTGTATATGATTATCATAGATTACCAAAATATATTGCTATTTATGAGGATATAAATTTGATTATTAGTAAATCGTATAAATTTAATAAATATACCATGAATATTGAATGAATTCTTGATTTCATAGGGGTAAAACGCGCTTTTATATGATTTAGACAGAGAATTTATGAGATGTAAATAACACAATAAAGGTTTATATTGAATATTTTCTAAAAATAAATCGAAATTATAAAAAACAATACATTTATTCATTGAAACTACTTGACAAATATGAAACAAGCATTCAGGCAATACTTTTGAGACTTCAACGCATCTGATAATTTTTATATAACTTCACCTCTTATGCTTAGAGTGGAGGTATTGAGATCGCATAAGTATAGATGAGCTCACATTCAGATATGATGTGTGAACTTCTGTTTTCACTGCAATTTTGAATCAGAATATAAACTCAAAACAAGAATAAAATGATATACTCACTCTCTAAATGTGTTCGAGATTTAAAGTTGTATGAATAAAACGATTCATCTTTCGAAGCCTCCCATTTAATGAGAGACTTCGAAAGATGAATGTATTCATGTAGATGAAATACTATATATGACATGTGTGATACTAAAGATATCAAAATGTTCATTTTTAAGTGCAATAGAAGGGTTATCTCTCGTAAAATCTCAATTTAAGGAAGATTTAGAAAGAACTCCTTTCCTAAGTAGATAGTGTGTGGTTTCTGTCTTTTGGTTGATCAGGAACTATGAGATTAAGTCGGACAGAAAGAAGTTCTTTCCAAAACAGACTCCAAATGAGTTGTTCGAAAAGAACTTCCTTCTGTATATGGATAATTGTAGTTACCGCACTGAAGTATGTGATTGTGATGATGAGTTCTCGATAAATCTAAAATCGGATTAAGATTAATTGAAAACTCAAGTAATTCTTTGAAATCTTGTGTTGTCTGGCACTATAATAACCAAAGAATGAGAATATTATGTTGAATGATGAGTACGTGTGCTCGGCATTCGCCGAGCGAATTGAGTTTAACGTACTATGAAAAGTGACAAATTTGGGCTTTTTTTCCTAGGGTTATGATCTCTTCCTTTCTGCTCAATACGACAGAAATGAAAGAATGAATTTGTACTCCCTAATTGATTACTACAATCTGTATCTATCTTTAACATAGAATTAGCTGCATTGTGATTTATACTCCAGAATTATTCAATTTAAGATCAACCTCGTAAATTTTAATCATATTGCACCAATACTCCTACGTTGAGATAAGAACATGATTATACATACCAAAGCCCCATATTAAAAATCAAAATTTAGCAGTAGTAGGATATGACGGGTTTAGTGACTTTTTTTGTTACATCTATATATAGACGATGCATTAAAATATATTTATTTATAAACCATTAAAAAAAATTAACATTAATTTTAAAATAATTTATTTTATCTTTTATAAAAGAAGCTATATATAGATGATGTCAGATATTCCGCGATTAATTAAACATTGTTTAAATCCTGAATGGGTTTAATAATCATCCATGTAAAATTTTAGAACTTGGTAACGAAAAACTTCAGAAAAAATTAAACGAAAGACTATCAAAAGATAAAGTTGAAAGAGTAAATAAACTCGCTAAAGGTAATGGTAATGATGAAGATGAATTTGATGAGTTCAACATAGAACTTTAAGAAACTAATGATTATTTGAATTTATGAAATCAATTATTTGATTCATTCTTTCTTCAATCTCTTCTATCTTTTGTTAAATCATCAATTTTCATTAATGAGGTGATTCTTGATTGAGAATAGATTTCAAACTAACCACCCTTTTATTTTTGAAATTTTGAATCCATCAACTTTAAACATTTTATTCAATTTTACACGTTGTCAATTCTTCAAATTAATTTTTTATTATTAGCATAATAGTCATTAAATTCTTCAACAGATGAAAAAAATTTTTTATTTCAGTAATTGGTTTAAACAACGTTTATTTTTTGTTGAACATTTTCACTTTCATTTATTTCTTCCTCCTCTGTTTCATTTATTTTTAAAATCGGTTTCATTTATCATTAAATAAAATTAAAATAAGTGATGAAATATATTTTTTAATTAATATTAAATCAGAAATGGCGGCAGGATTCTTTAAAAAAATTATTATGGGGATGGTTAAAAAGTGCGGGGTGGTGGGTTTATAAAAGAAGATTATTAAACCCGTTGCAAACTTTTGGCACCAGTAGCGAAAACGCAAGGAACTATCATAGGTGGAGTATTAGTACTAAAGCAGGTAATCCGGCGATGGGAGCACAAGCAGGTAACGCAGTTGGTGGAATTGCTGAAGGAATACTTAATAAATAGGAGGTAGATAGTGGAAAAAATAAATATTATTTTTATCTTAGTATCGGTTGTAGTCTTTGATAAACTTTTTTCCTTTATTTAAAACTTCTCTTATTGGGGCAGCTTTTGGTGTTATTGATTCAGCAACGTCACTAATTGCTTCTTTATTCTTAAATATCCAATTTGCCCCCTTCTTCAATGTTTCCCAAACTTTACTCGCTCCTCTTTTTACTCTATTCCACAGTTTCTTAAATATACCTGCAGCCATAGTTGATTATTTCATTTTAAAATTAAAAATTCATTTTCATCTTTTAATTTTGATTTTTTATTTATTAATAAATGACGACTAACTATTTGGTGCCAAACACTAAACCGATTAATGGAAATGTATTTCATTCATTCGAAAAGATAAATGAAATATTCGCAAAGAATGATGGTAGAAGATATTATAGAGAACTTGAAAGTTCATGCT